TAAAGTGACAGCGTATAACTCATTGCTTTCTCCCTCATTTCCTTCCATGTCGACTGAAACAAATCGTAGTCTGCGCCTCTTTGACCGTGGCAAATAATTGAGTTGCAGAAAAAGAAGTTGGGAAGTTTCCGTTGAATGTTCCAGGTGAGAATGAACGAACAAAGGACTAGCAATCAAGTCATTCCACGACTTTGATGCGCACCTTAACATGGATAACGTATTCGCCGGGCATCTTATAAAAATAGAGCTTATAACATCAACAGGTAGATTGTTAAACTCATTATTATTATTCCCCTCCTCTTCCTCTGTACTTTTCCTTAGTATTGACTTGTTAGGCTGCAATAGCATCAAACAACAGCACATATTACGATAATTTCAATTAAACCCAATATCATTCAGCAAAAAACTTCAATCAATACACTAAAAATTAATCTAAACCCTTGACAACTTGTTTGGATATATGGTTGTTATGTGTCGTTTCATAATGTATCGTATCGTATTATATTGCATTGAACTGTATCGTTTTGATATTTTCAATGTTTGGATATATAGATTGTATTTTTTGTCATCGTTTTATAATGTCATGCACCAATATTACGAAGAATAAACTTGAAATATTACTCATAAAGAAAAAAAGATACGAATAAAGTAGAATATAAAAAGGTAGGGTAAAGAATAAATAAAATTGTACGTGGACCGTGTTAGTTCGTTTTTTATCAAAACCAAACCAAACCAACTATATAGGTTTGGATTGGTTTGGTTCTATCGGGTTTTTCGGTTATATAAATATTATTTAAATCTTATTTTGTTAAAGTTAGAGATAAAATTTGATAAGTGAATATATGCTTAGTAAAACAAATGACAAACATTGTAACACATTATAGTTATTTTCTTAATCGTCTAACAATAGTTTTATTGATGTATGTTTTCAAGGTTAACCGAATTTAATAATTAAACATAAAAATCAATATGAAACCTAAATAAAGATATTTAAGTTTAAAATTATTGAAATACTATTTCAAATTCGAAAAAGATATAAGAATTAAATAGATATTGACATATGAATGTAGAAGAACAAAGAGAATAATACTTGATAAAAAAGTAATGATACAATCCATTATTAAAAATAAATAAAATGGAAGCACTTCATAGTTCTATTAAATAATAGATCATATGATCCTATGAGAGGTTCCCAAATATTTCTAGATATTTTTTTAAAGAAAATTCTATATAAAGACTTAAAAGTATATATAAAAATTATATATTTATATCGGTTTGGTTTGACTTTTTTACTCAATACCAAACCTAATCGGTTTTTTAATCAGTTTGATGCGGTTTTTCGATTCGTTTGAACACCCTTAGACGCGACCACACCAAATCGACCGTTTACATAAAATGTCACTTTTCGTTATTATTTAACAATATGATACCATAACATTCAAAACAAATATTGTATTTAAAGTAATAATGCGATACAATATAAAATGTAACCAGTGGCGGACCCAGAATTTTGTGCAAGCGGGTTCAATCTTAGAGGTACATAATTTTAGTCGTAAAATAGTAGTTGTCAAGTGGATTCAAATAAAATATTTATACAAAATTTACGCAGCTTTAATACTAATTTATACATATACATAATATCAAAAGAAGTTGCTACCTTTTTTTGCAGTTCCCAGTTCTGAAATTTTACCCGTCTACCTCGAGTAACAGTAAACTCCTTCATAGTTTCAGTATTTTTTTGCTATGCCGCAAGGAAAGAGATGAAGGAGAATGTGGGAGGGCATAACGATATAAATAAGAAATAAAGCCAAGGTTTTGTCAATTGGGTCGACTATAAAAGTACGACGCCGTCACAACTGGAAATTGTTTTATTACTATAATTACTTTTTTCCTACAATATCTATATCTATATTGTTTATTTTTTACTTAAATTTTATATTTATATTTTATATTAAAAATACGAATAGCCTTAGCGAAATATCATTCGTCTTTTTTACCGTTTAAAAATAGTCATTTGTGTATTTTTTTAATATTTAGGAATAATTATTTAATTAATTTTCTACAATTTAGAAATAGTCATTTAATTTTCCCTAAATTAATCATTCTTCTATATTAACAATCTTGGAAATTTTTATATTTTGGAGTACTAAATTTCTCCTTCTATGTTTAGGAGACTTTTCTTGTAGTCAAAATATTTTGCCGTTAACTCCATATATATTTTGGAGAATTAAAGTTTTCCTTTTATATTTCGGAGTATTAAATTTCTTCTTTTAGGCTTAGGAGATTTTTTTTTGTAGTTAATAAAAATTAATCTAGGAATATTTTATATTTTGGAGTACGACTTTTCTAGTAGTCAACAAAATTTTGCCGTCAATAAAATTTTACCAAAGGAAAGTAGACTAGAAAAGTTTGTCGTTAACTCCATATATATTTTGGAGTATTACATTTCCTTCTCTACCCTAGCAAAATTAGGTGTTAGTTAAGACGCATTAGTTGGATTTTATGCTATTTCATGGTAAAGAAGTCATATTACATGGATTAGATGTAAGTTACCCAAGCAACAACATAGTAGAAAAGATCATCCCTGACAGAGTTAGTGGCGATAATCAACATGAACTTCTTCATCATTTAACAAGCTAGTAATTCGTTTTTCTTTTTTTAGAAAGAAACATGCTAGTAATTCTTTCTTCCATTAACAATAATATGAAGTGCACCTTCTTAGAACATACTATTAGTCCTTCCCGCCAGTGGAATTCAACGTTATACCATAATCAAATACTCAACAGTATTTGAATCTACCAACAAAACTAAAAACAAGTAATCAAGTGTCACTACATGATCCATCATCCAAAAATACAAGTCAATCAATCAATGCCATATGAATCCTCTGTAATCATTCTACTCCATTAAGGCACAACCCATGCCTATTCATTATCGACACACAGGTAAAGGCAGAAAATAAATTCTTGAATGCTAAATTTGCTGAATAATCAGAGAAACATGGTCTGCTGGAACCACTACTATGAGTATATTTTCTGGTATAAGTTTTGATTCATAAAAGGGGATAAGGCCATGTCGAAGATGCCACGAGTAGGGTGTGTACAAAGAAAACCGATAAACCGTACCAAACCGATAATCCGAGTCAAACCGGAAAAAAAATCCGATGTGGTTTGGTTTGGTATTGGAAAATAAAACCCGACCATAATTGGTTTGGTTTTAACTAAAAAAAGTCAAACTTGAAACCAAACAAACCCGATAGTACATTTATATAATTTTTAAAAATATATTATACATATAAATATTTATTGTAATGTAATTTATAAATATTTCTTAAACTTTTTCACAGTTTTATCTTTTAACGTATTATTTCAAATTTAAACTTAACATTCTTTTATGGTAAATAAATTTTATAGCCCATAAATGTAGTAACTCAAACAAAGTTTAAATCAATACTAATGCTAACAAAAGAAATTCAATTCAATACTAGGAATGACGAAAGTGTTGGATAATTATTTGTGTTATATTGGTTTAAAATGAAAATGCATAACTTAGTTTATCTTTTTCTCTAGTGCTAAGTTATGTAATTAATATTAGTACTTATTAGCTATTCTTATTTTAGCATGACCTATATAGTATTTTTAGATTATGTTAATTTTTATTATGGCTTATTAATTAGCAATATTTGTTTTATGTAATTTTATTATTTTATCTTTGTTATTGAATATTTTAGTATAATGCTATGACTTATCTCATAGCATTATTAGATTAGTTTCTTGGAAAACACATTATATAGTTGTATTTTACTAGGACTTAAGAAAAATTTGGAGCACAAGTTACATATTTTATGATATGAAGACTTTACCAGAAAAAAATCAAGAAACCCGAGAAAATTCGACATTGGAAAACCCGACTTTGTTGGTTTGGTTTGGTTTATAAATTTAAAAACCTGACACCATTGATTTGGTTTGATAAATTAAAAATCCGAACCAACCCGACTTATGTACACCCCTAGGCACGAGCATGTGTCACACTTCAAAACAGACCCCATTATTCATTAAAGGTAAGTCAATGATCATCAACTATCATCACAAGTAATGCCAGAAAAAATCCGAGTGGTAAACAGAATAATCAGAAAAATAATGGCCCAGAGAACAACAAANAGAGAAACATGGTCTGCTGGAACCACTACTATGAGTATATTTTCTGGTATAAGTTTTGATTCATAAAAGGACATAAGGACATGTCGAAGATGCCACGAGCATGTGTCACACTTTAAAACAGACCCCATTAATCAATAAAGGTAAGTCAATGATCATCAACTATCATCACAAGTAATGCCAGAAAAATCCGAGTGGTAAGCTTACAGAATAATCTAAAGGCCCAGGGAACAACAAATAACAGAACAGAAATATTACATGCTAACCACAAGGAAACAAAGTACCCTAAAGAAGTTCTGTAAGGATTTCAAGTCACCTGTGCCAACCTTCCCAGGGCAAAGGCTGACATTTCCCTAAGTTGAGCATCAGGAGATTGGAGCATCTCAATTAGTGGTGGTACAGCACCTCTTTGCACAATGTGTATCTACAAAACCATCACAAAATATTAAAGCATAAATCAGATAAAGTTGCTTTAAATAATAATAAATCAAGAGTTTTACAACTCTTCGTGACATTAACAGAGTACATTGGTATCATCAACCTTGCAATCTGTGTTGGTTGCTGCAAATTGTCCAAGCAATAAAGCTGCTTCCCTTTGACTCTCCGAACAGGAGGAACTATCATATAAAAAGACTTACCATAAAGAGGAAAAGAAAAAGCAAATCATAAAACATCTAGGTCATATATGGAATTCTGCATATGATAAGCAGCTAAGAAGTAGAAGCTGTACATGACCAGCCACTCAAATTACTAGATCCAACTATACCTAAGCAACCCAATGACAGGTTGTAAAGCTCCAGCAAGAAGAACTTCCTTTTTGATATTTGATGATGAGTGCACCAGATTTCCATTGACTCCAACCTGTCATGCCACAATTTTGTTACGTCTAAGGATGATTATCACTTGAAGCATTGCCAGAACTTTATACCTAATTAAATATGAAACAAAAATAGAAATAGTATTATGAACTTGTAAAATGATGCCTAACCGCTTCATACTGTATGCCCGTATCTTTGGACCGCAGCAATAGAATAAGAATAGGTAGTACATTGCAATCAACAATCTGAAATCAATTTGGAGAAATTCTCCCATTAGAACAGATAATGCAAGAAGTTCAAAGATAATTTCCATAAATCAGAATGAAGCTACTAACCTGATTTTTGTTTTCATCGTTTTTAAATGCCAAAGTTCGCAAGGCTCCTGCAGCTGCTCTTTGCACCTACGAATCAACAAACTCAATCAATTCAACAAGAGGAGGAATACAACCTTCAATCCTACATATACAAAATACAGATGAAGTATGAACAACATGTCTTCTTTTGAATTTTTTTTTTAGAAACCCAAAATTTCAGAGAACAAAGAAATTAACCTGCTGCGACTTTTAATGCTGTTATTAAGATTGGTGATTGCATCAACTGCTCTCCGGATAACACCATTGACTGCACGAGGTTTTGTGCTTTATTGTGCCTCTTCAGCAGATCCACAAGATGGGGCAGAGCTCCAGCATCAACAATGAGTTGCTGTTGCTCCGGCTGTTTAAAGACACAGTAACAGTTAAAAACAAACACTTAATAAACGAAGGTACATACAGGATAGACTAGAAATCCAAATTCCCGTTGAGCAAAAAAGAACTGATAAGAAACACAAGTATGCAATCATTCTACTGTCATTGCTAATGCATCTTTTTCAAAAGTGGCAAGAGAGTGTGCACAATTAAACCAAATGATACATGCAAATATGCAAGTAAAACCAAAATACCAATTGAAGTGGAATGTATTCAATAACAAGACATAGCTTCTATTCTGTAAGCAAGGAAGCTAGTGTATTCAATAACAGAACATAGCTCCTGTATATGCTGAAGTGCAGAACTGCAGATATTATGGAGCAATTCAAAGAACATAAATACGATTCCAGATACTAACTTTTATTGCAAGAAGCCCAAGTGTAAAAGCACTTCCTTTCTAGATCTCATGCTTGTACGGCATCTGTCCACTATCTCCTAATTCACTCCCGAGGGACGGCACCTTAGGATGCTTCACCAAAGCTGGAACAGCACCACAGTCTACAGCCACATTCACAAATTCCTCTGCAACACAAAAATTCTCAAATATCAAAAATCAAACTCTTAGTCCCAAACTGATTGAAATAAACTAATCCAATTCTCTACATGTACACAGGGATGGCTCTATCTCAACACTTTGCCGTATTCAAACTTTCCACAATATCTCTGAATGCTATAAATTGAAAAATAAAGAAAAGCATAAAGAAAGAAAAAATGAGAACAAAAATGTTGACACCGCCGAAGCTAGTGTAGCAACTGATGAGATTGAGGGAACTATATTTTTAGCAACTGAAACTAGTTTCGGATTAGACAATGAGTGGATTTTAGATTCCGGTTGTTCATATCATATGTGTCCTAGCAGGGACTTATTTTCTACATATGATTCAGTTGCAGGTGGAGTTGTCCAACTGGGTAACAATGTTACTTGTAACGTTATTGGCAAAGGTACAATTCGGTTCAGAATGCACGATGATGTGGTGAGAACTCTAACCGATGTTAGATATATTCCTGAGTTGAATAAAAATCTCATATCTTTGGGTACTTTAGAATCCCTTGGGTACAAATTCACTAGTGAAGGTGGAGTTTTAAACATTATATGCTTAGCTGGACTCCCCTGTTTTCTGCCGAGTTTTGCTACTATATTCATGAATATAGTAGCAAAAATACATTGAATACAATCTATAACAACTGAAAACATAGCTATAGGAAGTAATTTAGTAAATGGTATATAGTAGCAAAAATACATTGAATACAATCTATAACAACTGAAAACATAGCTATAGGAAGTAATTTAGTAAATGGAATATAGTAGCAAAAATACATTGAATACAATCTATAACAACTGAAAACATAGCTATAGGAAGTAATTTAGTAAATGGTATATAGTAGCAAAAATACATTGAATACAATCTATAACAACTGAAAACATAGCTATAGGAAGTAATTTAGTAAATGGTAGCTATAACAAATTAATAATCACTAATATAGGATTTAACTATGTCCTAACTCTTTCGCTTGTTTTCTCATCAGTTGGAGTAAGGAAAATTTACAAGAAAAAATATGTTTTTCTTCAACAAATTTTCTATTTTTTCCCAAGAATTTCAAACATCCCACGAAATAAGAACGATCAACAAGATAATCGGAGCAGAATTGGATATACGAAGGAGATTATATGGTACAATATTCTTACATATATGGTATATATCAGCCAAACATTGCTATTATTTCCAACACAGGTCAGTAAGCAGGAAGACCAGACCCAGTCTTCCAATTATACAGGTAAATCACATTCTTTACAGCCCAGAATGAAACAAAGATAGCTAAAAGCATCACCAACCTCTGGATATTCCTACTCTTCACATGGACAAGAACATGAGTGATAAAGGCCAACAACAGCCCGAAAATCGTGTACAAGAACCCGACTGTAAACCCCTCGCCCCCTAACTCTAACTGCATCCCAAATCCTTTATAAAAGAAAACCAACTTTTTAGGATCATCTCTATCCACCACAGCAATTGGTATTTTATTGATTATGTTGTACATTGTCCCTGAAACACTGAAGAAGTACAGGAAAACTGACCCCGCCATCCATATATGCTTGTTATGTAAAAGGGTGTTTCCAGCAACAGTCTTTTTCACTAGAAATGGAGTCAAGATTAGCCCCAAAGCGATGATAATTATCTTTTGTTTCTTGGAAATGAAACCTGGCCGTTGTATGGGACCAACAGTGAGCTTAGTTTTAGCCTCCACGAATTCTGCCATCGATTCAGCATGCCCAGAGAAATCTGAAGACTTCATTCGAATAGAATCCCTTTTGAAATCAGTAGCTAAAGGGGGGACTAAACATATATAGGGGAGAGACTTGACTCCAAATAGAGCAAAAGAAGCTTGTGATTCTTGAAACACAATGTCAAAGAAAAACAGTTTCTTGTTATGTGGATTGTTTGTGTGGAATGAGGAGGAGAGAATCAAGAACTCTTTTTTACGACTTGGAAGTGAAATCTCTGGCTCTGAATGTAGCTTCTGTGAATCGAAGAATATAAGGAAAGAAAATGGCCTAGGGACAGGTATCCATAAAATTCGTCTAAGTAGTTTGTTAGAAAGGTGAATAACACCGGTGGGAGATTTAGAACGAAGGATGATCAATTCAGAAACTAAATCATCTGAAGTTAAGGGATGATTTTCGGGTACGAGGAGTAAAAGGAAAGTGAAGAAAAATGATGTTGTGTTGTATGAGATAGCCATTGTAACTGTTAATTCTGAATGTTCTGTTTCATACAATCACCTGAACTTTTGTACTGTTGATTGCTAAACATTTTGCCCATACTTAGGCTCCACATGGTGTGTTCCTAATTAAATTTGTCTATTTTAGGATTATGAATTCAATATTTAGCATTTAATTCTGGATTTACTACTATCTATTTATTATATTAAAAAATGATCCTATTTATCTGGACTTTTAGCAGCAAATCTCCATCTACACCTAAATTATGATGTTAATGACAGTCTTTGCACTATTGAATTTTACGTGAGGCTGAAGAATCTTTTAAATGCAGATTATGTCTCCTTGAAAAGCTAATAAATAGATTGTTTTTGTTTAAATTCCTACCCGATGTCCGGTAGCCTATTTGGGTTCTCACTAATCTAGATTTGCACTTCGAAGTACCACTTTGAGGGTAAAGCGCTTTTTACCAACGACAGCTCTATATCCAAGGCTCGAACCCGAACCACTAATTAAGGATGAAGGATTATTTACTACACTATGATAATCTTTGGTTGTTAGTTAATAAATAGATAGAAAAGCTAGGTTACCCTCTTAAAAGTAAATGCTTCTTTGGTAGAATGAGAAAACAAATCTTAATAGATAGATTTTATTGTTTAAATTCCTATCCAATGTCCGGTAGCCTATATGGGTTCTAGCTAAGAAAAATCACTTTGGGGTAGAGCGCTCCCTACCAAAGACTACTCCGTATTCAGGGTTCGGACTTGAACCTCTGATTAAGGACGAAAAAGTATTTACCACGTCACGATAATCTTTGGCGGTTAGTTAATAATTAGATAGAAAAGCTAGGTTACTCTATTAAAAGTAAATGCTTCTTTGTATTTCCTTTGGTCCATTTCATTCCTTTCGATGCAAGGCAAAGTAGACAGAAAGATGAACTATAATCCTTTTAATGTTAGACCAGCCACCATAAAATTAGTAAAGGATATTGAAGGGAGTTTGATAAATATTTGAGAAGCTATATTATGTAACTTCTATAGCTGAAAGTTTGTCAAAAGTTTTTAATGTAAAAGTTAGGCGCACAAACAAACACGTGCTTGATATTACACTAATAGGCGCGAACACATTCAGGAGTCGTTTGGTACAAAGACAAGTTATGGAAAGTGTGTTTGCAATCAGGCAAAAATCCTAGCAATTTCACCATTTTCAAGAATACTCAAACAAACTGAACACTCAATCGGATTAGTAATTGCCTCATCCGTGTCATGGTCATCACTTTGCTTGTAAACAAATATTGGGAGTGAAGCTATAATAGATGGATCAAGTCCATTTATTAGCTACCACTCAGCAATAATACATTATTTCACTTTGCTTTTTAATCTTAGGAAGACTCATGATCCCCGCCTTGTCAACATAATAACGTGCACGACCAGCAGCTAAGTGGGCATAATAAGCTGGTGCCACTGCATATAAGAGATGTAATTAGTTAAAGAATAAAAATACCTGAATATAACTCGAAAGAGAGACAAGATATTTATAAACAACAATCTAGGCGCAAAACTAACCGATGGCAAGCGATGATGTGCACCTTGCATCCCTGAGATGAACGGAAGTTGATTACAAGATATTCAAGCATACAAGGAAATTAAGTTCAAGATATTACCTGTAACACAAGTGGTATGTTAAATCCTGAATGGTTTCTGCATCGAATCCATTATCATCGCATAAGACGTGGTAATGCGCGGGATGACTAGTACCCTGATTTATTAATAGTAGACATCAGCGTATGAAGGAGCATACAACTGGTAATGAACTAAAATAACAACTTTACCTCCATGGAACCATGGCTGCACAGATAAAAATCAAACTCCATAGGGTGGCAAATCTTGGTATCTACTACGGTACCTATTTTTAAAAAATAGTAGCAGTCATATGATTAAGTATTCATTAAAGTACTCATACAAATACAATTTCATATGCTTCTATTACCAGATACTAAGAACAAAATTATGAAACCTGGCAAAATGTTTCCACTCTTGGGTATCAACTTCTCATCAGCCGGAAAAAGACGTGTCTGGTGTCTTTTCTGTACTACCACAAAGGTAAGTCGGGGCTTATACGTTTCGCCGAGTGATTTACATGCCTAAAAAAAAGGTGAGCTTTGCATGTAAAAAATATGTATAAAGATGAGTTGATTCATCAAAATCAAATGTGCAAAAACAGAACTGGCGACAGATCCCAAGACAATAGACAGGAATTTATACCATGCGAATAGCAGCTACTTCTTTTTCCAAAACCTCACTGAACTGACTTTCTCCCACTCCATCTCTGTCATTCACGGCAAAGTTTGACTGGATCATAACTTTGAAAAGGGAGACAAAATCACGAATCAACAGGAAAAAAGACTTACCTATAGAAGATTATTCTTTGAGGACATATCCCTGTAGACTCTTTAAAAGCAAGTAGCAATTCCCTGGGAAAAACAATTAATTTCTAAGACAAGAACTATGGTATGGAAAACACAATGTAACATTATAACCAGGGACTTGTACCTAATCATTCCAGCACCAACAGTCTTTCCATCATTTGTGTCTTCTTTGTACAGGTCCATAATGATCTCTTGCCTACTGCTCTGTGCAGAAACCACACTCCTATATTTAGTAAGCTCTGGCCAATCCATAGACGCGACCATCTATAAAAGAAAATATTATACTATTAGTTCCGCGGGAAGAGCATAAGCAACAATAGTAAAACAATTTATAATTAACAGATGTTAAGTAATAGACTTCACATACTGCAGCTATGGATGGACTACAAACATCTCCTGGTGAAGGATGTGACACATCAGAACCAAAGACAATAGTTGGGACAGCAGTGAGAGCCAGTATTGCGTGCTGCAATACGAAGTTTCTTCCACCTACCTAAAGTAAATTGCACATCAGAATTTGGTAAAGGACTGACAGAATGTCTTTTAAAAACGCACAGCTTAATTAGCAAACCTTGACGTTTATCTTCAGTGCTAAGTACTCAAGGTACCGCTCAATAAACTCTGTATCTTTGGAAAATGCTTTCTTTGACTGACAGCATTGGGAAACAAGACCAAGTCTAGTTTCACATATAGTTTTGATCTCTCCTGAAAAGATAAAGATGTCATTCGAAGCGAAATCACCATTAAACCACATAACTTCAATCTTTATCGTGAATGTTCCTATTCCTTATCAGTAATTCGAACAATCTTTATCACTGACCATAATATCCTGAATCCTTTGGTAGAATCACAATTAAAAGCTGAAGAGGTGTCTTCCCAGACTCTTCAACGATACCGACCAGAGTTTCCTCTATTTGACCAGCATCAGCTGAGCGAATAGGAACCAAAGGATCGTTGTTGAACTTCTACAACCAAATACAACAAGACTAAGAATGTGACATGATAAGCAGAAGCAAATACTTACAAATTATGAAAGTGACATATTGCCTTACCATTCCTAAACAGCGACACATTCTAATCAGTGATTTGCAGAACTCCTCTGGCTGCGACGATAACTTAGTCCTTGAGAAGCTGACACATGTCCAGGATGTTACGCTGCCACCATTGATCATTTTCTAGAAAAAAAAAAATCACAGATCGAGACCTAAATACTAGCAGTAAAATAATGTCACTGATTAAAAAAAAGGTAAAGAACATTAATAACCAATATGACAGATTTCGACAAAATGGCAAGAGATGCATATGAAACTCAGTTCGTGTTCTTTATGACTTCTGAGTAAACTCACTTTACATGCACGAAATGATAAATAGTATAAATAATATCAACGTTAACAATAATAACAAACAGAAATGTTAGAACAATATTACTCCTCTAATGAATCGCTATATAGTCAACTAATATACGTGACTATCGAAGAACCTTGTCGATCATATTCCAGTGACCATCCTCAGGCAGCACTTGTATTTGTTTCCCTGATTCAAGATTATACTTCAGCTGCAAGACCAGAAACAATGAAGATGTTAAAATCCCATGAGCTAACGTTTCAATGAATCCATAGATGCCTAAAACAAGCATAGCCCAAGAAATTGCCTGTGGAGCCGAAAGAACATGTGCATCAATGGTGGTGAGGCCATTCTGAACCGAAATACCGAATTCGTTCATCATCAACATCATCTAATTAAAATACAGATGTTAAAAAGCACGTGAAATCAATTATAAGCTTTGAACAAAAACTCCTTAGATGAATCACTATTTACTCAGAGGATAACTGAGACTGGCTATTGAAATACCTTGTCAATCATCGTTTCATCAGCATTATCTTTTTGGGAAGGCATGTTCTCAGCATCATAGATATTAGACTTCACAACCTACAGGAAGAAGCGACATCTAATTAAAAATAGATTTTAAAAGCATGTGAAATCAATTGCGAGCCGGACTGGTCTTATGTAAGACATATGTGGCGTATACATGCCTTCTTAATAATTTTCTCTCTATCAGTTGGTTTTTGACAATTTGCTTTTCGCATCCCTGAGACCTGCTTGGCATTTAGTGTACTTCTATATCTTTGTCCCGGGGCAATTTTGAATAACTGAAATTAAATATATGAGAAAGGAAAAAAAGTACATGAAGAGATAATAGCCATAGAAAAGTTGAAAAATAAAATGAAAAGATGCAGAATGACAATAAGAGTAAGTAACCTCCATGGGAATATATTCAGGAGTACTCTTTCGAATCTGAATAGCATGCAAATTTGGGTATTTCATTTGAGTCAGGTAGAGTTTACTGTAGCGATCGAAAAGAGATATCTCCCCTTCGGGATCATGGGAGACCCTTAAACAACATAATCGTCAAAAATTAGTCGAAAACACGAAAAGTTCCTGTAAAGAAACTGTAAAAACAACACAAGAAAAGTAAAACTATTTAACAAGGCANATATATATATAACAACATGGGATGGTTGATGGCAACTTAAAGCATATTAATGTTTAAAGCATCAAATAACTGAAATCATAACATACATTAACTCTACCGCTGGTTGATCCGACAATGCATAGACTTTGTAGCGAACGACACGACCCTCGTGAAGCATCTCCACCATAAGATCTTTCAAAAGGCATATGGCCTGAAATTATGAAACTAGTATCATCCTACATATCTTAAATTTGCTTAGAGAGAGTGATTTGAAGTCTTCAAATTGTGGCTAGAACATAGCAATAAACAAATAAGCAATTTTCTGGTACCTTGATACGGTCCTTATCAGACATAATGTACCCACTAAGATCCCTGACTTCAAGGTTCTTTGCAACAAATTCATATACATCTATTGTCTGGTAGAATGGTCTGGCTAAACTATCTGGAGCATAGTAGCAGGACAAGGGTTTTAGAGGAAATTATCCAATAAGATTGGACAAAAGAAAGAGGGG